TCTCAGTACACTTTGATTTAAATAAAATCATGTCATTTATAACCTTTGCTTTTTTTTTTTTTGGCCTCGTGCATTGCCTATAGTCGTATGTGAAATCATACTCATTTTGTGCTTGTTTACTGTTTCAGGCAGAATATAAAAGGGCTGTAACTACAAATCAATGGCATCGACGACTTGAATTCCCAAATGGGGAGATGTTTGTTATGCATAATCCCAAGGTAATAGTTCTTGGTGCTTGGTTTGCACAGAATGGAGTGCAAGTGAATGATCAGATGGATGGAAGCATGAATTAAATGAAGTGCTAGCCTTGCTCGGAATTTACTTATGGATTGTTTTGGATATGTCTGCATTAGAAGAGCTGATAAAACTCATAAGAATGACAGAGGGGGAAAAAATTTCAAGAGATGATAAAGCTTATACATAGAGTTCCTGTTTGCTTCAATGTGCTATACTGTGATTTAAAACCCATACTTTCTAACACCTAAGACGACAGTAAAAATACTTACTAAGCATCACTGGCAGCAAATGAGAGGCAATTTGAATTAGTTTAACCTTAGATGGTCTGCACCCAAGTGGAAGGTAATTTACAGTAAGAGCTTTCATGTGGAGAAGAGCCTTAATCTTAACTGCAAGGTAATTTGATTGTATATCTGAGCCATGAGAAGTCTTCCACTGTAACCATTTTTAGGACTCAAGAAAGTGGAATAACTTCTAAAGTTTTTCTTTTATTGTAAATGTTCTCTTGGCAGCTTGTTGTTGTTAAAAGATGGACTATAGCCTTAGTGACTGGTTCTGTTAACTGTTGCTTTGAGAGATGCAGTAATTAAAAAACAAAACTGAAAGAACAACCTCCCTCTCCTCGCTGAAGTGCCACTGTATCTCCTACTTTAACCAGTCATGGGTTAAGAAGTTTCATCCAGTAAAAACTTAGAGAAAACCATTAGGCCACTTGAACTGTTATAAATATGAATTCAGACTATAATGAGTCAGTAAATCTTATTAAGCAGCCATACTGCAAATGTTTCTCACAAAATTGTAGCCTGCTAGAGAAGAGTGGGATTGGAGGTCCAAAAGAAGAGGAGTTTAAATATTGCTCATTCAGAGTCAAAATTGTTAATCAGGATTGCACATCACAGACCACCTTCTGCAGCTAGTGGTTTTACTGTTTTATTCTAGTGAGAATTATCTGTGTTATTTCTGAGTCTGTTTTTAATGAAGGTGTTGCTGCCACAGGAGACAGATCTACGTTTTTCTAAGACTTTTATTTATTTATTGTGTATATACTAACAGAAGAAAACATTTGCGCTCAAATGCAAGATAAAGCAATGAAGAAGAAGATGTGTTGAACCATGCAATATTTTCACACTAGCTGTAAAGTTCATGTGTTTCTGCTGTATTTACAGTTTGACAATGTCTTTTTTTTTTCCAGGTCATTGTTCAGTTCCAGCCCTCTGCCTCGCCAGATGAGTGGGGCACCAGTCAGGATGGTCAGGCAAGACCCAGGCTGGTAAAACGTGGAATTGATGACCACGATGAAATTCCTGATGGTGGGTAGTGCCTGCGAGGCTGCAGGCTGAACAGCCTGTACAATCCTGTACAAGAATTGGGCAGCAGTGGCTGGGGCCACTGATTTTGTTTCTGTTCTGATTTTTTTAATTCAAAGAAATCTTTTGGGCTAAGTTATATCCTGAACTATGTTATGTGAAAGACTTTTTGAGGCAGTATGTATTACTATATCATCATTACTCACATTAGTGCCTTGCACTAAACTGCAGCACTGAATACCTATTAGTGCTCAAGATTTTTTCTTTTCTTTTTTAATAGGAGAAATGCCCCAAATTGACCATTTAGTATTTATGGTTCACGGCATAGGTCCGGTGTGTGACCTGAGATTCAGAAGCATTGTTGAATGTGGTAAGTTTTTGCTGGTTTGATGGATAGTTTTATTCTTACCTGCTTAAAAGTGGGTTTCTTGGTATTCAGGGAAGCTTTTTGTAAATAATATGGCGACCTCTTTTATATTAAGCAAGTCAGTCTCTGGTAGGATATTCCTCCCTCTCCCCCTCTTTTTTTTTTTTTTCCTTTAAAAAGTGAATCTGTTCTGTCAGATTTGTAGTTTTAGCTGTTGTTATTCCTTCTTTAACTTTAGTTTTGCATAGAAATTTTATTTTTTTGGTAATGCACTCCAGTACAATTGCGTGAATTAAACATTAAATAGGTTTCTAACTGGAGACCTTAGACCACAGATTGTAGAAGACCATGTTTATTCGTAGAATACAATTGTTTTTGTTTTGAGATAAAGAGAATTTTACTAGGAAGTCGACTTTTTTTTTCCATTCATTTTCTTGTAGTTAAATGAGTAATGCATACCAAGATTTTCTACTTTGAATTCTCTTCCATTTGTAATTTGAATGAATATTTGTAATTGAGCATCTTATTTGCATACTGTTTTGGTCAGATTTTCATTACTCTGCTGCTTATTTTATTTTATTTATTTTTTACAGTTGATGACTTTAGGACTGTTTCTCTGAAGTTGCTGCAGACTCACTTTAAGAAATCTTTAGAGGATCAAAAAGTGAGCAGGGTGGAATTCCTGCCTGTTCACTGGCATAGTTCTCTGCATGGTGATGCCACAGGTGTAGACAGGTGAGTAGAAGCTGCATCTTACTAGCTTTTCAGAAATGAATAAGAGAGAAACAAATGCATATACTTTAGGCTAGATAAATATATGATTGGATTACAAGAAAAAAATCACTAGTATTTCTTGTGCAGGTTTTGAAGTTGAGGAGTATGGAGAAAGCTAGAAAGTCACGTGGTCTGATTTCTTTATGTTGGTGGCGTGGAGTAGCAGGATATATGTGTATAGGTCTATATACAGGCACACATACACACATGTGAACAAAGACTTTTTCTGATACTACTTTTTCATGAAAGTAGCTGATGCAATTGCTCATAAGGTGTCTTTTTTTTTTTTCTTAAACAAAGCCATGTATGCTTAGCTGAAAGAGTTATAACATCTAAAAATATATTTCTAAGTCACCTTTTGTCAATTTCCTTCCTGTTGTTTGTCTCTGCTACTTGTTTTCCCAGCAGCAAGGTGACAACATGCGCTGCTCATGTCTGAGGCTGATGTGCACTCTGATGCCTGAGACCTTCCAGGCCATTCTAGCTCAGTTAGACCATCCTGCTTTCCTAGACTCTTTCATTTTTTTATTCTCACTTGACACCTGTGTTATGAGGAAGGATCCTTATCCTCTCAATCAAACCATTTATTTTATTGTGTGCAGAGGGCACGCATGCAGTATTTAGAACATGTTTACTTCTGAAACACCAGGAGTGGAACTGCCAAGTACTTTACCCTCTTTTCTTTAAAGTCGTTCCTGCTTCTGACGATTCTGTATTCCTAGGAACATTAAGAAAATCACTTTGCCGAGCATTGGCCGCCTGCGCCACTTCACCAACGAGACCCTCCTCGACATCCTCTTCTACAACAGCCCCACCTACTGCCAGACCATCGTGGACAAAGTGGGGCTGGAGATGAACCGCCTGCACGCGCTCTTCCTGAGCCGCAACCCCGACTTCAAGGGGGGAGTCTCTGTGGCTGGGCACAGCTTAGGTAATTTGCTAAGAAACGGGCATCGCTTTAAAAAAAAAACAAAACAAAACACAACATTCCTGCATTAAAGAAAATGTTGCTTTCCTTTAGTGTAGGGCTAAGGTTAGCAGATAAGCCACGGCTATCTTGCAGTGTATTAATGACTAAAAGTCAAACAGTTCTCAATAGGTAAGTTTATAAAGCTTAATGAAGATGTTAGAGCTTCTCAGGTGTGTGTGTTTCTCTCCTCCCTATCCCCCAGTTCTTTCATGAAGACTTAATATCTAATTTGTTTTTAAAAATTGGCATAGAATCATTATGGTTGGAAAAGACCTTCAAGATCAAGTCCAACTGTAAACCCATCACCACCATATCATATGAAAAAACCTGCAGTCAATTATTGCCTTCTTGTCTAGCAATACTATAAATTTCTTAACATTTTCGGAGATAATTCTGCTAAATTAATTATTTTGGTAAATGTCATCTTTTTAAGTGGGTATTGTCTAACGTGTCTAAGAAAGCCCTTTAGGAAAAAATTTTTTGGAACATATGGAACATATTTTAAGTATTATCACGGGATTACAATTTAGGGACAGGAAAATTAGAAATATTTCCCAAAACAATTTAAATTTATTTTT